CGCGGTCGACTACGTGGGAGTCCAGCGACATAGCCATTACTCTAACTGCTGGTCCCTAAATTACCTTTTTAAAACCTGTTTCTTCTTGGTTAGACAGTATTTTTTTTAAAAGAGTTACTTATTTAATTTTATTTACCATATTTTAATTTTTAATTTGCTATAGGCCATGCGTGCTTATCAGAGAGAGAGAAAGTGAGAAAGATAGCCGCCAGCCTGTCACTTGAACCGTGTTCGGCCACGTGGGAGTTTAGTACCTGGCCCCGTTAGGCAGTCTCTTTTTTTATTACCATTTATCTTTTTCAGAAATACAGGTACAGAAAAATACTAATTGATTCTTTTATTATGAATGACAAATTAATATTCAAACAGAAAATTATGCCTTGGACTTTTCAGTGCAAGGCCTTTCTACCTATTTTTTTATTTTTAGTGTCATTTGACAAAAATGTTCCCAGTTCACATGTATGTGTTAATAATACTGAAAGATCTTAATTCTCATGTTTTCAGATTTATTAGCTTTTATTGTAAAGTTCTGAGTGTCATTCCAGTTTTGGCATTCTGTGATTCATTTACAAAGTTGTGCATTTATTTGGTTTTTAATTCAAATAATTCATTGTCCACGGGGCTGGCTTCTGTTACCAGGAGCTAGGCAGAGTCTCATATCCATCAACGACAGTATTAGTAGTATGAGAACACTAACTGTTGCTTACATTTTTTTTTCTTGTTTCTTAATTGCCAGAAGGCACATTCCAGGGAGAGGGAGAAAGGACCATGGGCATGCACACATGTACCCTGTCTATTTTTCAAGCTGTCAGAACTGGGGTTTGAACCATGGTCATCCATGGTATCTATGTAGAATCCTGCTTCATTAGCACTAGACAGAGGCCTGCTCCATATTTTCTTCAAGTGCTGTTTTATTTTATTTTTTTAATGAACAACCTCTGTGGTTGTCTCTTCAGATGTAGTCTAGTCCTTTCATTTTGTTGTTCGCCGTAATAGGAGATATTACCAGAACATATTAGAAACAGCCATATTGGCATTTTTTTTTTCTGAGTCTGTTTTTATTTAAAAACTGTGGAAGAACAGTAAATAAAACTATTGCTTCTATTGGTTGTTAATTACTTTCTGATATTTTCTGAGTTTGTATTAGGCCATCGAAGTTTAACCAACGTGCTGCTGTCAGCATTTCTCACTGTGAATATTTCTCCAAAAGTTGAAGTGTAGAAAAAACCACTGGTGATTATTGAGATTCCTGCAGATCTGTGTAACTGTCTTCCTGCAGCTAGGGAAGTAGGGGTGAGGTCATGCATTTACTGCCTGCTTCATCAGTATGTAGCTGCTATGAAAATATTAGATTATTTGTTATTGTATTTACATTGATTATAATTGTTTTTTATTTTTTAGAATTATTTACTTAATTTTATTATTATTTTACATTTTCTATGGGGCACATGTGCTCATCAGAGAGAGAAAGTAAGAAAGCAAACCACCAGGTCTGGGACTCGAGCCATAGTCAGCTCGTGGGAGTTCAGCACCTTAATCACCACAGGCCCAGATCTGAGCCCTTATTCTTAACACGGTGTATAAAAGATGGAGCTCTTGAATGTGTTAGTGTCCCTTTGGAAGTTGAAATTTGACTTTCCTCAGACCCAGTTCATTTCTGATCATTTGCCTGATGGATGATTTTAAACGAAGTTTTGATTAGGTTTTTTTTCTTTTAAGAGTTTTTTTGCTAATGGGCACAGGTGCTTGCTAGAGAGACAGAGAGAAGCAGAAAGCAAGAAATCACCGCCTGCCTGGGGGGGGGGGTAGGCATGCATGCACACATGCAGGGTGTGAGTTTTAAGTCGCTGGGGTCTGGAGCTCGAACTGTGGTTACCTACGTGGGAGTCCAGCGATGTAACCATTACGCCATCTGCTGGTCCCAAAAATTAAATAAATTCTTTAAAAAAATAACTAATTAGGGGCTGGCAGATGGTGTGCTAGTTGGGCACTGGACTCCACATGGCCATCATTGTTCAAGTCCTGGACCTGGTGATTTGCTTTCTCACTCTCACTCACTCACTCACTCACTCACTCACTTGGTGTCTCACTCTGGCGGTGTCTCACTCTGGCCCTGTCCCTCTCTGGTCAAATTAAAATACATAAAGAAAGAAAGTTAAAATAATTCTTTAAAAAATAATAATAATAATCAGAGATCAGCAGATGACATAATAATTACATTGCTGGACTTCCACATAGTCGACTGTGGTTTGAGTCCTGGACTTGGAACTTAAAACTCATGCAGAGTATGTGCGAATATATACCCAAGAGAAGAATGGAGGAGAAGGGGTTGTGGTGTGGCCATCTTCCCTGCGGGGTGATTTCTCACTTTGTTGTTTGGTCTCTCTGGCAAGTACACACACACTATAGTGATAAACCTCTCTAAAAAATAAAAGAATTCATTTTATTATTACTATTTTATTATTTTATAATTTGCTACAGGGTATGTGTGCTCACGAGAGAGAGAGAAAGTAAGCCATCAGGTCTGGGACTTGAACCGTGGTTGGCCATGTGAAAGTCTAGCACCTTAACCACCACACCACCATTTCTGACCCATGATTATTTTTATTTAGCTGAATGGGATATGGCAGTATATATGAAATCATTGTGCATCATAAGCAAGCTATTTTTCAGATATGGATTTATTCTTATTTATATTCACTGTGGAGGACACCTACGGGACATTCCTGAAGGTAGTGGTGTGGGAGAGACCTGTGGTTTATATCTGGGCATTGAGCCTGTGTGTTTTGTTCGCATTATTACTTCGTGAATACCAGAGTATCTGTGCCAGGCACCCCACCTGCCCCCTGATTTTGCCATTTGTCGCTCCAGTGGAAGACCTGGACCTTCACTTTATTATTTCCATGCTTTAAGAAATCAAAGTAAGCATGCAGCCCTCCATAGCAGGTTCTTGAAAGCTGATTTCCTTAAATTACATATTTGGCCTTCAAGTTTGACCGTATCTATCCTGTTCAGTTACATGTTGATTATTTCTGAATTCTTCTAAGTGGCATTTTACATGCTGCAATAGGGCTGGCCTTAAATCCTGAACATTAGATTTTCCTGTATCCTCTAAGAGAAAGTGAAGAGGGCTGCTCCTAGTTTACGGCCAGGTGCTGATCTCGGACTGCCCGGGGATGTGGCTGTGTGTACTTGATCTGTCCACCACGGGGACACTCAGCAGTTACTCTCATCATCAGCGTCACGAGTGCCTTCCGTTCCTTACTGCCTACCCAGAGTCTCCAAACCAACTCTAGATTTAGGCTGAGAAGCCCAACAAGTCAAGTACGGGGTAGTAGTAGTTGAGATTACTTGGATGTTTTGTCTAAAACCCAAGGAATGTGGATTAATGGAGAGTTGGAGCAACCCAGAAAAAGAGTTGAGGAACCAAGAAGATAAACGTGTGTAGCAGAGAAGCCTAGGCGAAGGAAGCCATTGTAAATGTTGGGGGTGTTGGGGTGGAGAAGAGAGGGCTCATGGAGAACTTGGAATCTCAGGTTCTGTTTTATAGAAGGCAAGAGCTGACTTCGTTCCATTCTGTTTACTACATCTATCTTTTTAGCACCTACCAGCCTTGCCTTCCAGGTGGGTCCTGCTCATTTCACAAAGCCTAACTCGTGTCATTTCTTTCATGTGTTTTCTTGGTTCTCAGGCAGAGCTAATTGTTTCTGCCTCTGTTGGAGGACTTGCCACACTGGGACGTAATGACGTCTGCAGAGCTGTAGTCTCTTGGGCTTGTGAGGGTATAGGGTACGAGGTTTCTGTACCACCCTCGGCAAGTGTCAGAATGATCATAGCATCTTAACAAAGAGCTCCACTTGGTTTTCTCGAGGTTCATTAATGCTCAGGCTTTGATACCTCCTCCCTGGCCTTAGACTCCCCGTCTTGGCCTTAGGTCTTTTCATCACCAGTTTTGAAAATATTTACATTGAAATGTTTTTAAACTAGCTTTAAATCGTTATTCTGTCATGAAGAGTTTTGTTCTTTTTGTTGTATAGTAGCTTAACTAGACTTTTGTTTTTGTTTTCTTAGACAATGCCTGTGTTCTTTTTGCCGTCTCTGTCCTTATGTTTATAATCAGTTCAATGCTGGTATATGGAGCAATTTCTGTAAGTATCCTGTCTTTTCAGCTTCTAGAGTTTGGCCTTTACGATGTGGCCCTAAGGAGCTTCGTATACGTGATTAAATGTGGTTACTATTTTCTCCTTCAGTACCAGGTGGGCTGGCTGATTCCGTTTTTCTGTTACCGGCTCTTTGACTTCGTTCTCAGTTGCCTGGTTGCCATCAGTTCTCTCACTTATTTGCCAAGAATCAAAGAATATCTGGATCAATTAGTAAGTGTGTCTGATAATTTAACTTTTCTTCCTTAAGTAAAATATTTAAATGGAGAGTTGAAGCCAGTCTTCGGTATGATTATTAAATACCCCATTTGTCTTTTAAAGTGTTTTGAAATAATCCCTGCCCTTGTAACCATCATGTTCAAGCCAGATGAAAATAAGGTATTTTCTTAGCAGGCCATTTGGATAATCCAGTGATCCAGTCAATGAAAAGTTCCTAAAGCTGGATCTCATGGCACTAGTAGCTCAGCTCTTGATTTTCAGTATACTGAAGGAATAATAATTTGTGTATTTGGTGCTCAGTAAATGATTAGCTTTTTGTCTTTACAGGCATCCGTAGCAATGATTTGAGTTCCTACTATTAATATGTCCTTAGCCCTATGCTAGGTACTATTGGTGAGTGGTATAGATATAAAGATAACTTCTCTGTAGGGTGCACACCACGTAGGGGAGTTAAGACACACGGAGATAACAGTCTGGAACTGTCACGTGATAGCAGTAAATAAGGAACTTGGATTAATGCCATATGAGGGGGGAAGGGCCGTGAATACTCTGGGCTGAAGCGGACAAGAACAGGGCTTGATCAAGGAGGAAGTCTGGAAAGAGGTCCAGGCTCCAAGCAGATGAAGCCTGGGAAGGGCGTGCACAGTTCACCTCCAGAGTACCGTCTTTCAGAACTTGGTTCCCCACTTCCAGGTGTCCTGCTTAATCCCCTTGTGCACACCACCAAACTTACCATTCATTCAGAAAACATTTGTTGGATATTTTCTTACGTGAAGGGCACTCTGCTAGGTTCTAGGGATACATCAGCGGAACTTGCTTTCTCGTGAAGGAATTGGAAAATTGACAAGTGTGGAAAGAGTTGTAGGCTACTGTTTAAGCAGATATCCCATGGGTGCCAGACCTGGCCGGGGAAGTGAGATTGGAATTGCACTCGGAGTAGGGAGAAAGATGGGAGAAGTACAAAAGTAAAACATTCCAGATGTAAGAGGGACGTTGAGCAGGAGTGAGCATGGCTTGTGTAGTCAGTGAACTAAGATGGCTGTGGTGGCTGGACCTCAGAGGGAGGAGACGCAGCAGGTGACAGGGCTGAGTGAAGGCTGGGGGGGAGTGGCAGCTGGGGCAGGGCCTGCTGGTTGGTCGCTTTGGTCAGAAGCTTAAGTGCTGCTGTCTGGTCATGTCATCTCGGGCTGAAAAATCACAAGTGTGGCCGTCCTGCCTTCTAAGTAAAGGCTGAAATCCTTAGTGTAGCATTCCCCGAGTCAGTCCCTTTCTGTGTTCGCCCTTTTGTTTGCAGATGAAGGCTTGAAAGAACAGTCTTATCCCAGGGAAACACTCGGCTAGATTTTGGGGGTGGGTGTATGGATTCTTTTTCTGTTTTTTGTTTTGTTTTGTTTTGTTTTTCTCCTTTTTTAGTCTCATGGAATTTCTGTTTGTGCTGCTTTTTTTTTTTAAATGAAAATGTAATTATTTGTTGACATTTCCATTACGAACAGATAAAGCTAAAACAAGAAAAATTAAAATGAGCTTTATAGAGAAGAACACCAAAAGGAATTTACTATTTTTCACTGACCCCAGTATTTTCTCCGCTCTGTTATTCACTTAGTCTCAGACTGAAAGGTCCTCCCTCCACTGGCTGGCCTGTATAGTCTGGTTTCTTCTTCTGTCATTTCTGCCCGAACTTAGCTGTGTAGATGTCCGTGCTGAGTGTCTAGACGAATATAGCTGACCTGTCCCAGCACATGCAGTATGGCTGCAGGAACCCTCCCGTCTTGCCCAGCTTTACAACAAGTGGCATTTAGAAAAATGATTTTCCTCGTTAGGACTGAATGACGCGTGGGACCTAGACAGATCCTAGTACCTCTGACTTACTGTGTGGCCCAGGGACACATCTGGGGTCCTGCACAGGAGCTACTATTTTTCTGAAAGCCAGAAAGATGAGAAATAGTGGAAAGGGAAGAAAAAATGAGCTCAGTTTGGACCCTTAGGGGTATTGTCTTTTTTTTTTTTTAATTGTTAAGAGGCCACATGTGCTTAGTGGGGGAAGAGAAAGCACTTCCAGGAATGTGGTCACACTGCGGTCCCTTTCCTATGTCTGTATCTCTTCAGGATTTGGGGCACGTGTGTTTTTCTAGCTGTGGGGGCCGAGAGTGAACTGGTTGGTCATGTGGGATCTGGTTTCCTTAACCACAAGCTGTGGAGCGTTGTGTGTTCTAAGTGTAGTTTAAGTGATATAGCCTGCATTAATGGTGATGAGGCTTGAAAGCACTTTGAATTCTGTTCATAATTTTTTTTTTTTTTTTTGTGAGAGGTTTTTGCAATAGGGCCCGGCGCACCGCCAGCCGGA